ACACGTGTTTTCTAGTTTTTCTTTGGTTGTTATGATAGCATGTCCAAGTGTTTATACATGAGCATTTAAAACTATTCTGAATAACTCTGAATGTTTCTACTGCAGAAATCAATGTGTTTATCTTAAAACATTCATAGAATTTGCAGTAATATTTATAGAATTAATCAAAAGTCCCCAAAAGATTCTGCTTTATATACATTTCATGTATTTACTTCCAAAGTATTAAAATCCTTATAGTCACATAAAGATATTTTATGAGATCATTTAATATATGGTAGAAGTAATTTAGTTAATGGTACCCAAGCTGGTTAAAGGATTTATACAACTTCCCAAAACCTTAGGAGAGTTTGGCTAATTCTGTGTATTATTTTAATATGCTAGAAAACATTACAAAAAAAAAAAAACAAAACCAAAAAGCTCCTGACTTACAGAATTAGTTCATCAAGTAATTTCATGAAAAGGAATAAACATTAATTTTAAAACATTTTTCTTCAAATGTTTCACCTTATAAAGAATGTGTTTTTCCTATTTATTCAATACAAACAACAAATTCTTAAGTTTACTATAATTAGAGTAAAATGTATGTGTGTGTGTGTGTGTGTGTGTGTATGTGTGTGTGTGTGTGTGTGTGTGTAGAGAGAGAGAGAGAATAAGTGGGTGTTACTGATCCAGGTTGACTTAAAACTGCAATCAAGACCATAGTTGTATGGTTGTTGGAAAATACCAGAAAAATAAAAGTGTTTTTTGAAAAGTACCTTTCAAAAATATAAAATTAAGATTCATTTCAATAGTTTAATCAAAGATGTTGAGAATATAAAGTCTTAAGCCAGTGAAATACTTACAGTTTTTCAATGGAAAAAATGTTTTAACTTTAATTAAACTACATATTTGTTTCCATGACTAACATTCTGAAATCCTGAGAGTTAAGTGGTACAAAATGGCTATGATTTTGGCTTGTGTAATTCTTCTTTCTAACTAATCATGAAACAGGCGTAGGAGAAATATTACTTGGGGATTTTTGTTACCTTGGGTGTTAGTAACTGACTTTCGTAAAGTGTATTCTACGCCCCCACTCAAAACAGTAAATCCATTTATTTCATTTAAAGTCTTGTTGTGTAAGATCCAGGAAGAGAAAGAAAATTAACATTTACTCAGGCCCAGCTAGTTTTTGAGATATGTAAAATCATTTATTACCCACATAGCCTGTGAAAGTTTAATTACCCCATCTCACGGCTGTGGACTGGCGCGCACTGGCCCCAAACACCTTCACGTGGTGGGAGGAGTACAGGGACTGGGATTTGAAAGTTCTGCCTCCAGCAGCTTTACCGCTATATGCAGACTTTGCAAGGTCAGACATAAAATGCGGAGAGACGTCCCTGTGCAGCCTGTTGGCAAGTCCCGTTCAGTACAGGTCACCCCAGCAAGTCTCACTTCAGCCAACGGTATGCCGACAGGTGGGAGCAGTGCATCCTCAGAGTGGGTCACGCATTTGGCCACAGGGACAGGGACCAACTGCACCACTGCTACGAAAGACATTTTCCTGTTTAAGGCAAGATGTTAAGCACAGGGAGTGTTGTTCATCCTGTTAGAGGCTGTGCGGGCCATAAAGTGTGAGGACAGGGAACAGGGGAGCAGCCCCTGAGAGGGGCTCCCCTACCCTGCAGAGGATGCGCTGCCCACTTGGTCATCCCCAGGCCTCTGCAGCGTCCGCCCCCTTTTCAGCTGTGACTCCAGTTGTCTGCGTTTGACAATGGAAATGCACCTCCCT